TGGGTGACCCGAGAGCGTTTTGGCGCCTATTATGGAAATTAGCATTTTGGAGGAAATTTCATAAGTTTGGGTTGAAATGCATTTCGGTGTTATTGATGTCCGTTTGGGAATCCGGGTTTGGGAGTAGCTCCGTATGGTGATTCTGGTGTTGGGAGTGCGATCGGAAGTGAATTCGGAGGTCCGTGGGTCATTTTGGAGTCATTTGGCTAAAGATAGAAATTTGAAGGTTTTTAAGAAGTTTGATCGGAAGTGGACTTTTTGATATCGGGGTCAGAATCCGATTCCGAAAGTTGGAGTAGGTGCGTGATGTCGAATATGACTTGTGCGCAAAATTTGAAGTCAATCGGACGTGATTTGATAGGTTTAATCATCGAAAGTAGAAGTTTGAAATTCTAAAGTTCATAAAACTTGGATTGGAGGTCGATTCTTGGTTTTAGCGTTGTTTGATATGATTTGAGGCCTCGAACAAGTCCGTAATGTGTTTTGGGACTGGTTGGTATGATTGGTTGGGGTCCCGGGGGCCTCGGGTGGATTCCGGATGGTTAATGGATCGAAAATGGAATTTTGAGAAGTGTTGAAGCTACTGCTTCTGTCATAACCGCACCTGCGGTTGGTGGACCGCAGGTGCGAGACCGCAGATGCGGTCCTCACTTCACAGAAGCGGCCCAGGGCAGGCCAGGCCAGGAACCGCAGATGCGGCTCCCAAGCCGCAGATGCGTCCTGGAGACCCCAGATGCGGTCCCAGCTCTTTGGCCCATTTTCGCAAATGCGGCCCATTTCTCGCAGATGCGGGACCGCAGATGCAGTCCCCTAATCGCAGATGCGGTCCCCTAACCGCAGATGCGAAAATGCTGGAGGCAGTGAGGTTCTTTTAAATTGGGGGTTGGGTTCATTTCAACCCCATTTTCTTCCATTGGAGCCGATTTGGAGCAACTTTGAGGTGCCATTTTCACCACCAAGCATGAGGTAAGTAAATTATGTTAGTTTTGAGTTAAATACATGATTATATACGGATTTTGTCATGGAAATTTGTAGAAAACTTGGGGTTTGAGGGAAAACCTAGAAAATTGATATTCTTGGAATTTGACCACGATTTTGGGTATGGAATTAAGAGAAAATCATATATTTGAGTTCATGGAGTCATGGGTAAGCTTAATCTTCAAAAAACAATTCGAAATTCGGGCACGTGGGCCCGAGGGCTTTTTTTGTCAACTTTCCGATCGGGGTTAGAAATTGTTATAAATTGGGTTAATATGAGTAGTTTATCGTATATTAATGGATTTGCATAACTATTGGCTAGTTTTGGAGCGTTGTGCATCAATTTGAGTTCTCGGAAGGGCGTGGAAGGCCGGTTATGGATCTTCGGAGCGAGGTGAGTCTCCTTTCTAATTTTGTAAGCGGGAATTGTCCCCATAGGTAAAATAATTGATTATGTGCTCCTATTTGTGGGGGCTACGTATGCACGAGGTGACGAGAGTCCGTGCGTAGCTACTAATATGTGTAAGTCTGGGTAGTCTAGGACCCAGAAAGCATGCTATACTTGGAATATCTGTGATCTTATTGACAATTGAATTTCTTAAATCCTATCGAATTGGTAAATGAATTTCTAAGAAGATTAAACTCCATTTTCTTGAATTGTTAAAAGAGAATTTGGCTTTTCCTTGGATAATTGTTCCCTGATAAATTCAGGATTGACTGATTGTCGTGTTTATTTATATTTGACCACGTCGCATGTATGATTTGTGAGCGGGGTAATAGATGCATCTATGGTTCGTGCCGCTCGACCCTCGGCAGTGTACATTTTAAATATTATTGGATCGGGCCGTACGACCTCGGCATGAGTTGCTGCTCTCCCGACTTGAGAAAAATTTGTTAATTAATGGATTATGAATCCGGAGACTTTTAATAAAGAGGAACTTTTACCTGTTTAGTAATTTACTTGAATCTACTATTGTTCTTAATAAAACCGCGAGTCATCGCACTAATAATAATATTACTGGACCTTTGGTAAGTGTCGAAGTTGCCCGTCTCTACTTCTTCGAGATTAGGCATGATACTTACTGAGTACACGTTATTTTTGTACTCATACTACACTTCTGTGTATTTTTGTTGCACAGGCACATGCATCTCTAGTGGCCTAGTGGGCGTAGCAGCATGGTTGACACGGAGACTAGGTGAGCTGTATTTCCTCTAGGCGACCCGCAGCTAGTATAGTCTCTCTCAGGATTCTATTTATTTTCTATCCAATTGTATTTCAGACAGCTCTTGTACTTATTCGATATTTCTTAGAAATTGCTCATGCACTTGTGACACCGGGCTCTGGGATGGGTGTAAAGTATTTTTTTTTTCTGTATCAATTGCTTATTATTTAATTTGATTTGAGACGATTATTTTTTAAAATTGGTAAATTTGAAGAATAGTCATAGTTTTCAAGAGTATTAAAATGAGGATTTAATTAAGTATTTTGGGTTGGCTTGCCTGACAATGGTGTCCGGCGCCATCACGACCTTTAGTGGAATTTGGGTCGTGACAGACGACCCATTATATTTTTAATTAGGGTCCGTGCCTTATTTCTTGAAAAAGCAGTAACAAATTAAAAATAATTGTATGCCACGTGTGGAAGGTCTACTAACCGGCAGGCAACATTATACAAGAAGGAATCTATGTAAGAGTGGAAATTCGGGATTGTGACGAGATGGATAGGATATATATTTTCACTCTTAATCGAAGGTTTTGATTTTAAGCCCTTAAAATGGAAAAAGTTATAACATGAAGCATTTTTCCTGTAATAATCCTTACGCGCTCATCCGAATTAATTGTAACTTCAATACGCATTTAGAACATTGAAGGAAAAGACAAAAAATTTTATACAAGAAAAAAATCCTTACAATATATAACAATTAACTTAGAGTACAATTATTAAAATTTATATTTATTATTTATATTTAAGATTATTATCCTAAAATTCCAACCCATAAAGTTAATCTGCCTCCCCAATTGCTTCTTAAGATTTGTGTCAAAGTTGGAGCCAGCCCTTATTGTCTAGATGTGGATGGCAATTGTTTATAATTTGTAAGTACATTTTCAAGTAACGAGGCACAGACCTTAATTAAAATACACAGACCTTATATTAAAAAAAAAAATCTACTAATTGTTGTAATTCAATTTAAGACTACAAGTCAACTCTTCTATATTTCCAAACTCATGTTTTCTACCCATCATTATTGGTCAAAACTGAACTACATAACTTAACAATCTTGTGATTTTTTTAATTTTGCAGGTGAATTAATAACGCATTGTCTGATAATTGGATTAGTTTAATCATTTACTTTGTCTACTTCAGAGTTGACTAGCATTTCACAGTACTAGGGAAGCTACACTCATAGCTATATTATTTTATTTAATTGGTGTCTGTCACCTGCTGGCTCGATTAAGTCAAATTTGCATAGTAAAAAAGACTCGCTATTAAGATTTTACGGGGTTGTTGCTAAGGATAAAATTCACAAAATAATCATTTTTCAACCTTTTATTTGAAAAATAACCACACGAAGGTTTAGTTGTGGAATTTGAGAGTTGAAACTCCATGATGTGGCTGAAAAGTGGCTAATCCATGCTATTACTTCCTCTACCAAAGGGGCTTCAATTCTTTTTTAAAGTCCAAATTCGAGATCTCTGATTAAATATAAAAGAACGTTTATCATTCTTACTAGTTACTACACCTTGTGATAATTACTGCATATTTTCTCTTTTCCCGTCCAATTTCTTTCTAAGTTTTTTTTTTAAAAAAAAAAAAAAAAACAAAAGTAGTGCTCGAGACTACAAGGGTTAATATAGTTAATTTTTGTAAAAAGTCAAGTTAATGAAAAATTATTTAACTCTCCAAAAAATTTCTTAAGATAAGAGGAATACAGATCAGACATCTCTATAACAGCATCCCTATATAACAACACCTCACTATAAAAGTCAAACTTTTTCGGAACCAATTTTTAAGTTATGTTATAATATATGTTCTCTATAACAATACTTCGCTATAACATTAAAAAATATTTGGAACAAACGAAGCTGTTATAGAGAGGTTTGACTGTACTTCTTCCTCGCAACTGTCAAGTAGACAAAGCACGTTTAATATACATAAAATTCGCACGTCTATTACGCAACGTTAAACTTTGTATATATCTCTATCTAATTACTGACTCAGCACAAAAAAAAAGATTTCTATGAAGCTTCCGTTACATCTCAAGTTGCAAGCAGCAACTGATCAATAAAAAAATGTCAGATTTAGCTGGCATAAATGAGAATATATATATAACTAGAATCCCGAACGCACAAACTTCAAATTCTGGCTCCGCCTATATATATATATATATATATATATATATATATATATATATATATATATATATATATATATATATATAAATTTAAAATATGCTAATCGTGTATAAAAATTAAAAATTTCACGCTAATCATATATAAAATTTTACACTATAGTCAAATCTCTTCATAATAAACATCGTTATATAACAACCATTCATTATAGAAGTCAAGTTTATTATGGAACTAAATTTATATGCCATGTTATAATATATGTTCCCTATAAAAGCTATTCGCTATAACAACCAAAAAAGTTCAGAAACATGAGGCTGTTATAGAGATGTTTGACTGTAGTATTAGGACAGAAAAAGCTTAAAATTTGCAAAGAGCTGTTATAACTAAGACTATTATAAAGATGTTTGACGATAGTATCATGACAGAAGAAGCTTGAAAATTGCAAAGAAATAAATTAAAATTAATGCCAAAGCTAAAGGGGTCACGTGAAGGCCTTTAATTCCTACCTCAAAAGAAGATGATATTTATTTTTGCTTTAAATACGGTCATTGACATGAATAAGTTATTATTACTAACAACTCTTTTCAACTCTATATAAAGCTTCCCTAGGATCCTAAACACTTGACTGAACTATTCAACAATTCACAAATTCCATCTCTAGAAAGAAAAATATGGCCAACTTTAGTCTTCACTGCTTATTAGTTTTCTTGTTTTTCCATTGTATTTTTGTCAATGTTACTCAGTCTGTCACGTCCCAAAATCCCGCTACCACAAACTTTATCAAAATCTCATGCAAAAATACTTTATACCCTACGGTATGTATCCAATCTCTCTCTGCCTACGCAAACACCATTCAACTAAACGAGCAACAACTCGCTCAAGCAGCATTATCCATTAGTTTAAAAAAGGCCATACTCGCTGCGGATTTTATTACCAAAATTACAAAAATAAGGGGATTAAAGCCAAGAGAATTTGGAGCTGCAAAAGATTGTTCATCCACCATGAATGATAGTGTTTATCAACTTAATCGATCGATACCCGAGCTTGGCCAAAGCGGACAATTATCAGCAGGACAAGAGTTTACTTGGCATGTTAGTAATGTACAAACATGGATTAGTGCTGCACTTACTGATGAAAATGCTTGTCTTGATATGTTTAATAATCCTTCTATGGATGCAAAAATCAAGGCTTTGGTTAGGTCTAGAGTCTTTGCTGCTGCACAAGTTACTAGTAATGCACTTGCTTTGGTTTATCACTTTGCAGAGAGACACTAAGTTGATGATTCGCAGACTCTCCAAAAATATTATCGTGCCCGTGTTGAATCTTCAACAAATGCAAGTGGATCCAGCACGCATCAATCGACATTTTTGAAGAGCCCGAACAACATATCCAGAGTACAAGCTCAGCAGTTTGCTATATAGCTAGTTTTGTGATGTAAATGTTATAGTAATTATTAGTACTATATCTTTCTTTATACTGCTTTATATTTCATGTTGTAACAAAACTTTAGTTGAAATTAAACCATCATTGTCTTAATCTAAATCTATCATGTCAAATAATCAAAAAAATAAACTAGATGTTGAAGAGTAGGGCGGAGCTAGTAGCCCAGGTACATATTCGGCCGAACTCAGTCACTTTTGTTCTAACAGTGTAATTGTATTAAGAAATTTACTAAATATGAAAAAAAATATTAAGCTTAGAATTCTGCGAACTCTCCAAAAATATTGTCGCACTCGTGTCGAATCTTCAAAAGATACACTACTTTTGAAGGACTTAACACACACCTATCGACATTTTTGAAGAGCCTGAGTAACATATCCATAGTACAAGTTGTAGAAGTCCAAGCTTTGCAATTTGCTATATAACTAGTTTTGTGATGTAAATGTTATAATTATCAGTACTATATCTTTCTTTATACTGCTTTGCATTTCATGTTTGTAACAAAACTTTAGTTGAAATTACACCACCATCTTCTTAATTTAAATCTATCATGTCAAATAATCAAGAAAATTAAAATTTTGACTCCGCCTATATTGAAGAGTACATGAATTCTTAAGTATCGATAAAATTCTTTAGTCATGCGATTATTGATATTCAGAAGCAGATGAATAGTATTAATATATTAAATACTTTGTTAGTTTGAATTTAAGAATAATATTCCAGAACCGTCCAAGAGGTAATTAATTAGCTTCATAACATATTTCAAAACTCTAATTTTTTACTCATCAGATTGGTCAAAGCTTCACTTGAAAACCTGGCAATATTATGTTTTAAATTCTGCTGGTATTAATAGCGTTGTCTGATCATAGTTTAGTTTAATCATTTTCATTACCTACTCTAGAATTGACTCGCCTTTGACACTAGGCAAGTTGCATGATAAAGACAACTGAATGTCGTCCAGTAGAAGCAAATATAGGATTTCTAGAATATAGGTGTACCACTAAAAAAGATAATAAAAATAGTATTAACTGAGAATCAATCCCTGATTTCTTTAAGTAAATGACTCAATATTCAATCAAATGCAACATTTAACCTTTTTAGAACACGAGGGCAGGGGCGACCCTTCTATAAAGCAAGTAAAGTAACCGCTTTAGGTCCCATATTTGTGGGGGCCCCATTTTTTGTTACACCTAATAGTGTCACGACCCAAAATCCACTAGTCGTGATGCCACCTAACTCAACCCGCTAGGTAAGCCAACTAATAGCTATCCAATTTCCGAAATATTAACAAGACAATTAAACAAAGAATTATCTCAATCTTATACATTTCCCAAGGACTGGTAGTACAAATCATGAGCTTCTAAGAATAGAATTTACAAAGCCGATATGAAGCAAAACATCTTCTGTTTGAAAAGTACATAAATAGAGTTTGATAATTAATCTAAGACTACCAGAACAAGAGGCAGACACAACCGTAACGCAGGTACGTCTTCAAATCCGGCAACCATCGAGCACAACAACAACAGCAGCTAACATCTGCACCCAATGGGCAGAAGTGTAGTATCAGTACAACCGACCCCATGTACTGAGTAAGTAACAAACCTAACCTTAGGTTGAAAGTAGTGACGAGCTTGAACAAAGTTCAGGTCCAACACTAATAGTCAACAACAGTTCATAACAACATAAAGCAATTAAACAAAGAAGTGACTCAGAGATAAAATGCTCAGCTTTTTCATAGTTTTCCGAAAATAGTTCCACTTTTCAAGTATATCAGTGAAAAACCAACTCCTTTACCGAAAACGTCGAAAATACAAGTAAGTTTGAAAACTGTGAGTTTTTCCCAAAAAATTCCTTTCAACAGTAAATATGATGTTTCATTTTCTCTCCAGATAGGAAGTGCAAATACCTCTCTATGCCCATATGTCAATATATATGAGAAGTCATGAATGAGTGATACCGTATGACATGAGGAAAATGCATCTCTATGCTTGTATGTCATGTGCATGTCAAATGCAATGCGAGTCACTAATAAAACCATATGCATACTCTAAGAGTATCAATTCACTCAGTCCTCCCAGTCACTCAGTCCTCACAGCCACTCAGTCCTCACGGTCACTCAATCCTTCCAATCACTCGGCCCTCGGCCCTCGGCCCTCGCACTCAGTAGGTACATGCGCTCACTAGGTGTGTGTACAGACTCCGGAGGAGCTACTTCAGCCCAATCGTTATAACAAGTCAATCATGACATATATTAGTAAAACATGCTGCGGCATGCAACCCGATCCTATATACATATCCTCACCATCAGGCCCTCGACCTCAATCAGTCATCAATCTCTCCAGTATCTCGGGCTCTTAATGTCATGAAATATCAGCCCAAAAAATAGTAATAGAGACTGAGATGTGATATGCATATGAATGCGTATGACTGAGTATATAATGCAACGAAAGCAGATAGCTCAACAGCAGAAATGACCTCAGTGGTTCCCAATCGGATAAGCATGTAGCCTAGACATGGATTCTAGCATGGATCACAGCTCAATAGCTCAAGTACTTAGAAATTTCATGGTTACAGGTAAGATCAGGTAACTACACAGTACCACAGAAACAACAGAGTCATAATTCACACGGTGCACGCCCACACGCCCGTCACCTCAACACCGACCACATAGCATATAATTCGGGATTTTATACCCTCAACACTACGTTTAGAAGAGTTACTTACCTTGAGCAAGCCAATTCCAATACCGAGCAAGCCAAGCAATGTTCCAAAAATGCCATCCCGCGCATTCCGACCTTCGAACGGCTCGAAACTAACCAAAAACAACTCAAATACATCAAACAATGCTAAAGGAACCAATCCCAATTGAAAAAGGTCGAATCTTTAATCAAAAGCCCAAAATCGGCTGAAAATCCCAACCCAGGCCCGCGCCTCGAAACCGGACAAAACTCATAAAATATGATAACCCGTTCAATTACGAATCCAACCATACTAGTTTCACTCAAATTCGACTCCGAATCGACGTTCAAAACTCAAAAATTCACTTTATGAATTTTAGATTAAACCCTTAAATTTCACTTTGAAATCATCAATCAAACGCCAAAAACGAAGATGGATTCATGAAATATAACCAAAATCGAGTATAGAACACTCACCCCAATCTATATGGTGAAAATTGCCTCCAAAAATTATCCAAATCCGAGCTCCCCAACTCAAAATATGAACAAATCTTCGATATTAAGTACTTTTGCTCAGATGTTCTGCCTCCTTTTGCGTGCCAAACAATCCCAAACTTACTTTTGATACCTCCGATGGATTTCTTATAAAATTTCATTCAGATAGGCTTTTGAATCACTCCATTTGACCTTATAATGAAGGAGATATGTTGGTTTCAATATTTGAAAATAGTGCAGATTTTTAAATACGAAGTAATTGGTAAATTTCGTAATTAATTTGAAAAATCTGGTAATCCAATTCTTAGTAAAATGGCCACAAAATCCTCATACGATGTCCAAATTCGACGATTCTTTTTGCTACGGATCTGTAATTATGATACAGATCTAATACTTCAACCAAAACAAAAATTGGAGCTCATTTATTCAACGTGGTACCATTTATGCTTGAAGAAACGACGTCGAAACATAAGAAAAACGAGCGCAACACAACCCAATTCTATCCAAAACTCACCCGAGCCCCTCGGGACCCAGTACGAACATACCAACAAGTCTCATAACATAACACAGACTTACTCGAGGCCTCAAATCAAATATTACAACATCGAAACGATGAAACACGCCTCAAATCAAACTTAATGAACTTTTGAACTTTCAACTTCCAAAAACTTGTGCCAAAATATATCAAATCAACTCGGAGTGAACTCAAATTTTGCACACAAGTCCCAGTACATCATATGGAGCTACTCGTGCACCCAAACCACCGAGCGAAGTGCAAATGCTCAAAACGACCGTTCGGGTCGTTACATTCTCCCCCACTTAAACATACGTTCGCCCTCGAACGTGCCAAAAGTTGTTCCCAAGGCCATCAAACTGCCATATAACTTTATCACGCACATACTCGTGGGTGATCCCATGTCACCCTATTTAACTAGGCCCGACCACACCACACAACTGAATATGATTACTCCATCCTTAGTCCGTAAACCACAGTATCCAATTTCCAACATCCGAAATTACTACAAGACCCAAACTTCACATAAATACACTATATAAGTCTGAACAAGCTGTATCAAGACATAACCATGACCCACGACACAATCACATATATACCACACAACTCAAATACTCATAGCGATAACTTCCGACCGCAATAGCTGCTCGATAACCAACTCGACACCGGTAACGAACCTCATATCAATTAAAATCTTGTTCTGAACCTTTGTACACTGCCAATGATGAAAGAAACATGCAGAAACTCGTAACCACTTATGAGACCAACAAGTCATGGAACTCTACCTCCTTCGACAAGAACTATAGCCAATTTCTAAGCCGACTTCCGATATTATCCTTCCGACTATGATGTAATCAATTACGATAGCATCCATTCTAGGTCCAATGACCTCATCTTATCCAACACAATCATTCTAGTGACATGCCACATCAACACAATCTAAAGCCACAAACCGTGCAATCCGTGCACCAATAAGCAACAATCCAAATGTACTCAAATCATGAAAAAATGACTCAAACGAGAGAACTATCCCGCAAGCTTAACAAGTACTGGCACAACGAAATACTGAAAATCCATCACACTCCGTAGGACCATCACACGAATCTAACACAAAGTTTCATACCTCAACATAATTTCGCTGCAATGC